TGCTTTTTTGTGTGGTATGAAGTAAAAGGGAATTATTTTCTTATTTTAATGAAGAGTTTAATATTGATTTGGGGAAAGCAATGAATGGCATCTGACTGAGTTCTCACTGCAGCCATCACTACAAACACTAGCGCCTGTTGTGTAATTCTGCAGTGAGTTTTAGGAACTGGTTGAAACCTAGAGGATCACAGTGCCTAATTATTAAGGTGATGTCTTTCCTTGTGAAATCAGCAATTATACTAAATTAACATGGCTGAAATTGGTTCTGCAGCTTGTGACCACGGTGGATTGAGAATCTGGTTAACTTCATACAGTGGGCAGAACTTTACCTCGTCTCCAGTGAAGACATTTAACATCTTCCTACAAGCTGTTTCGTGCACTTTTTCCGCATTACTTTTCTCCTGCAGGGTTTAATCAGTATTATTGCTGAATCATGTTGAATGGGAGCAGCATTCAGGCTGCCAAAACTATGATTTATTATAATCAGAATTTTCAAAACACTGCGATCAACACTTCACCTACAGGACAAAGGATAAAACAACTTAACGTTCACACAATTCTTATATTCMGCAATATTTAAAGTAATTTACTCCTTTTATTTTCATCTTTAGGGATTTATGTTGAGTGTACACTCACATAGTTTTGAGTTTCTGCAATAAGATGGAAATGCAGATACGTCTACCTCTTTGGCCACTCACTACTGCCTTTGTTTATAACTCATTTGGGGTCAGGAATGTATTTCAAGCAACTAAAACAAAGTCACAGTTCTTGTTGCTTATTTACAAAAACAGCAGCCTCCTGTGTTTCTGAGAAGGAAATGTAACATCTACAAAACTGAAGGCAAATGAACTGTATAAAAAATTAATCTGCCTTCACTTGGCACACACGTAGGAGAGAATGTTAGCTCTGGTAATTTTACCCATAATTAGCGCTAGATAATTTTGATTTAAATTCCCATCTGAGGTGATCAAAACAATGCAAATCCTCACGTGAAATTCTAAATGAAACGGGATAAAATCAAAAATGACAGCAGTGCTTTCCAATCCACATAATTTCTTTATTTAATTAAGTACCAGCTCAATATAATCAACATCCAGAAAAGTGAAGTCATAAATTTAAACTCAAACTGTATAAAATCTTGACAGAAAAGCACTCCGTTCTGTAATCCATCCACCTGCTGAAGATAACATTTTGGGCCAGTTTTGCTTCACTGTCCGGGAGCAGACAGACTTTTGTTCATGAACTGTTTCTTGACAAAGCACAGCCACCACTGAAACAAAAAACAACACCTGTTAACACAAACTCCATGTGATGGAAATCTTAAAAAACTTCAAAGAACAACTGAACAGCAGTTTAGCTTGTTAGTTTGTCACGCTAGCACAGAGCTAATACATATAAGGCAATATAGCGTTGGCGCTAAAGCAAAAGCTAACAAGCTAAGCTGAGGTTCTTCTTCCATGAAGCAGCTCTGTTGTCCTCCATCTATATTTTCAGTTACAGGCTGAGTCATTTCTACCTTCTCCTCTCTGTCAACGCTCTCTGGTTTCATTTAGAGTCGATCATCAGATATTGTCCAAGATTAACCTTCAGGGTGGATTTAGCTCGCTAGCAGCCTCACACAGAAGACCTGTCGACATC